TTCGTTCTCAGAGCCAGGGGCGGGGCGTAATTGCAAAATCGATATTTTCCCGATGCAAATTTACAATTTTAAAAATGTGTTGTTTCTTGCTGTGAAAAGACGACTGCGTATATTAAGAAAAACAGCAAACTATAAGCCCCGCCCACCCACCCTATCTCAATTGTGGAAATTAATTGCAAATTCCTCTACAATAAATTACCACGGAAGACATGTTTTTGAGTATCGTGTTATTCAAAGAATACTATGTATATTATGAAAAAATTAAAGCCAAAGATTAAGCTCCATCCAGACCTGCTTTGATCTAAATATTAATGAAGTTTTCATTAGTTGCCACACCTAAGGGAGGAGCCTAATTGCCAAATCCATATTTCCTTACAAAATTGTACCATTTTAAATGTGTTTTAAGTTTCTAAGAAAAAAAATCATCACAATTGAGATGGGGTGGGTGGGCGGGGTTTATATATTGTCTTTTTTCTTAATATACATAGTATTCTTTGAACAACGCGATACTCAAAAACATGTTTTTCATTTCTTGTTAAGAAATAAATATTTTGCAGTTAAGCTCCGCCTTGGTGCACGGCGAATAAAAAAAATCATCAGAATTGAGATAGGGTGGGTGGGCGGCTTAGATTTTGCCTTTTGTTTTAATATTTGTAGATTTTTTTTCACAACATGAAACAAAATATGTTTAAGATGGAAATTTTGTATAAGGAAATATCGATTTTGCAATTAGGCTCCACCCCATAATTGCAAAATGCATATTTCCTTGCTAAAATGTACCATTTCAACCATGTTCTAAGTTTCTTGTTATGAAAAGATACCTACGTATATTGAGAAACAAAAAGCAAGATATAGGCCCCGCCCACCCACCCTATCTCAATTGTGATGAATTTTTCATTGGTTGTCAGATCGAGGAGTGCGGTTTAATTAAATGCAAGATCCATGTTTGTTTAGAATTTAATAGTATATTAAAGAACGAGTTTCATAAGGGAAATATTAAGACACGAATTCAAATTTATAGAAAGAGGCGAGTTATATAAAGGATAAGTGCCACAATGGCCTTATGAACGAGTTATTTTACTATTTTTTCTACCGCGCACGTTTTTCCGCAAAATTTACTTAATTGAAATTTGCGATTTTTTTAAATCTGGGGAATTTTGTCGTGGTTGGTAATGGGTTGGTCTCAGTCGAACCACGAAATATTTTAAGTTCGAATTTTCACAACAACAACTGTAATTCGAATCAATTCGAGTTAAAATTGGTTAAAATGTCTTGTGAAGAAGTTTGTGAAGTCCTTACGCCTCCCGAAATACGGGAAATTTTAATCTGACATTTGCCACTGACATTCACCTGACATTTCTCGTCATGGCTACCAATCTTACCGATCTAAATTACACCAGATCTATTTCAGAACCCCTTTGGGTGCTTTAATAGCTCTATTAGAAAATCAAAAAACGTGCGCGGTAGAAAAACACGTTTTAAGTTTCTTGTCCTGAAAAGACGACTGGGTATACTAAGAAAAAAAGGCAAAATATATGCCCCGCCCACCCACCCTATCTCGATTCTGATGATTTTTTTTATTCGTCGTAAACCAAGGGGCGGAGCTTAATTGCAATATCCTAATTTTTCTACGAGAAATTACCATGTAAAATACTTTCTTCGTCTTAAGTTTTACAAAGAGAAATAAATGTATTAATTAAAAAAGAAAACCAAAAGAGAAGCCCCACCCATCCGTCTCGATCTTAAACGAGATGAATTTTTCATTCGTTGTCAGACCGAGGGGCGGAGCGTAATTGCAAACTCGATATTTTTCCTATACAAATTTACAATTTTAAAAATGTGTTGTTTCTATCTGTGAAAAGGCGACTGCGTATATTAAGAAAAACAGCAAACTCACCCTATCTCAATTGTGAAAATGAATTGCAAATTCCTTATAATTTCTCTACAATAAATTACCACGTAAGACATGTTTTTGAGTATCGTGTTATTCAAAGAATACTATGTATATTAAGAAAAAATTAACGCCAAAGATTAAGCTCCACCCATACTTCCCCTGGTTTAAATAGTAATGAAGTTTTATATCGTTGGCAGACCTAGGGGCGGAGCCTAATTGCGAAATCCATATTTCCTTACAAAAATTTACTATTTTAAATGTGTTTTAAGTTTCTAAGAAAAAATCATCACAATTGAGATGGGGCGGGTGGGCGGGGTTAGATTTTGCCTTTTTGTTTTAGTATGTATAGATTTCTTTTCACAACATGAAACTTAAAATATGTTTAAGATGGAAATTTTGTTTAAGGAAATATCGATTTTGCAATTAGGCGCCACCACATAATTGCAAAATGCATATTTCCTTGCAAAAATGTACCATTTTAACCATGTTTCAAGTTGTGTATATTAAGAAACAAAAAGGTAAAATATAGGCCCCGTCCACCCACCCTATCTCAATTGTAATGAATTTTTCATTGGTTGTCAGATCGAGGGGCGGGATTTAATTAAATGCAAGATCCATGTTTGTCTAGAATTTAATAGTATATTAAAGAACGAGTTTCATAAGGGAAATATTAAGGCACGAATTCAAGTTTATAGAACGAGGCGAGTTATATAAAGGATGAGTGCCACAATGGCCTTATGAACGAGTTATTTTAGTATTTTTTCTACCGCGCACGTTTTTTCGCAAAATTTACTTAACTGAAATTTGCGATTTTTTAAATCTGGGGAATTTTGTCGTGGTTGGTGATGGGTTGGTCTGAGTTGAACCACGAAATATTTGAAGAACGAATTTTCACAACACCAACTGTAATTCGAATCAATTCGAGTTAAAATTGGTTAAAATGTCTTGTGAAGAAGTTAGTGAAATCCTTACGCCTCCCGAAATACGGAAAATTTTAATCTGACATTTGCCACTGACATTCACCTGACTTCCCTGGCTTCCAATCTTACCGATTTAAATTACGCCAGATCTATTTCAGAACCCCTTTCCGCTATTAACGAACCGCTATGACGTCCTTTGAGTGCTTTAATAGCTCTATTAGAAAATCAAAAAATGTGCGCGGTAGAAAAACATGCTTGAAGTTTCTTGTCCTGAAAAGACGACTGCGTATACTAAGAAAAAAAGCAAAATATAAGCCCGCCCACCCACCCTATCTCGATTCTGATGATTTTTTTTATTCATCGTAAACCGAGGGGCGGACCTTAATTGTGAAATCCTAAACTAAATGTATTAATTAAAAAAGAAAACCAAAAGAGAAGCCCCACCCATTCATGATGAATTTTTCATTCGTTGTCAGACCAAGGGGCGGAGCGTAATTGGAAAGTCCATACTTCCCTACAAAAATTTACCATTTTAAACGTGGTTAAAGTTTCTAAGAATAAAAATAACATCACAATTGAGATGGGGTGGGTGGGCGGGGTAAATATTTTTTTTTATGTACATAGTAGTTAAGTTATTCTTTGAATAATGCGATACTCAAGAACATGTTTTTAATTTCTTCTTTGGCAGTTAAACTTCGCCCTCTTGGTTCACAGCGAATGAAAACATTCATCACAATCGAGATAGGGTGGGTGGGCGGGCTTATATTTTGCCTTTTTGTTCTTTTCACAACATGAAACTTAAAACATGTTTAAAATGGAAAAGAGAAGCCCCACCCATCCATCTCGATCTCAAACGTGATGAATTTTTCATTCGTTCTCAGAGCAAGAGGCGGAGCGTAATTGCAAAATCCATATTTCCCTATACAAATTTACCATTTTAAAAATGTGTTAAGTTTCTTGCTGTGAAAAGACGACTGCGTATACTAAGAAAAAAAGGCAAAATATAAGCCCCGCCCACCCACCCTATCTCAATTGTAATGATTATTTTTTAATCGTCGAGAGACAAAGGAGCGGAATTTAATTGCAAAATCCATATTTCCTTAAAAAATTACTATTTTAAATGTTTTTAAGTTTCTAAAAAAAAAAATCATCACAAATGAGATGGGGTGGGTGGGCGGGGTTTATATATTGTCTTTTTTCTTAATGTACATGGTAATCTTTGAACAACATGATACTCAAAAACATTTTTTAATTTCTTGTAAAAAAATAAATATTTTGCAGTTAAGCTCCGCCCTCTTGGTTCACGGCGAATAAAAAAAATAATCACAATTGAGACAGGGCGGGTGGGTGGGCTTACATTTTGCCTTTTTGTTTTAATATATCTGGACTTCTTTTCAGAACATGAAACTTAAAATATGTTTAAAATTTGTATAAGGAAATATCGATTTTGCAATTAGGCTCCACCCCATAATTGCAAAATCCATATTTCCTTGCAAACATGTACCATTTCAACCATGTTTTAAGTTTTTTGTTGTGAAAAGATGGCTATGTATATTAAGAAAAAAAAAGGTTAAATATAAGCCCCGCCCACCCGCCCCATCTCGATTCTGATGATTTTTTTTTAATTGGGTTATACAAAGTAAACTAAATGTATTAATTAAAAAAGAAAACTAAAGGAGAAGCCCCATCTATCCCTCTCGATTTCAATCGTGACGAATTTTTCATTCGTTGTCAGACCGACGGGCGGAGCCTAATTGAAAAATCGATACTTTCCTACAAAAATTTACCATTTTAAGTATGTTTTAATTAAGAAATTTAAGACTGGAATATTAACAAGAAAATGTAAGCCCTTGTAGTTATATATAATACCTAATCTGTTTTTGAGACGAATAGCAATAAATTCGGTGAACAGGTGATTAAATGGTTTAATATTAGTCGACCTCATTATAAAAATTTGATTTTTGTGGAATCAGTGCTCTGTCAACCAGAAAAATGTCCAACTGTGACGGGAGGGGTAATTTTATAGTTGTTTTAAGTGTTTCACCAAAAAATGAATTACCAAAAAAAAAAATCAGTGTTTTGTCTCATTCCACTCCGCACCCCGCTACAAGCAACCATCCCCCGCCTGCGCTTTCGGTGTGCCCCACTAACATTCCGCCGTTTGTAAATAACCCTTTTTTGGGCAGGTTTTAGACCACCCCCGTTGTACCGAAGATGTTCTTTCCCCGTCGGACCAAGCGAGATGACTTGTGGAAATTCGTACAGCACTTACCAAGAGTCTCGACGTCCTTCCATCGAATCTCGCCGCCTCTCGATCATCGACAGCCGAAGAGGCTCGGTGTCTGTCGATTGCAGGCAGGCCTCGCTCGACGCTCGACGGATATCCATAGATAACGAATCCCCCGAGCGTCGCCATTGGTCGAGGCTGGTGCACAGACACTGAGTCCCCTACTGCAATCATATCGAGAGATATCTATACTAGGCCATATGGTGTGCACAATTTATTTACTGTTGGTGTCATATATTGTCACTTAACGTTTTTAGATGATATATTTTATGTGAGCTTTATCAGAGGTTATTAAGTATGGTGTGTCCATATAAAATTAATTTATTTTGAAAAAATAATTTACAGTGTGTTATTTCCACCTTGTCGTTTGATATCTTGTATAAACAATAAAGAGCTGGAATGGTTCGGTTGACGTAAACTGACACGAAACACGTTAAAATTGTAGACATGATAGACTTTATAAAAAAATTACAACAAATCATAAGTCAGTAAGGCTCCGGTTTATACTATGTGTCTTCAGGGACCTTCCAGTTGAGGAGTTTCCCGCGGTCGTAGAGGTCGGCCAGGGCTTCGCCCACCTTGTTTTGAGCTTCCAGTTGTTTGTATTTTTTGTACAGGTGTAGCGCCGCTCGGGCGTCCTCCACGGAGTCGTGCGTCTCGGATTGGATCTTCACCCCTAAAACACAAACCTGTAACTCCGTTACTCCACCCTACGCCACCAACTACCCAAGAAATGCCACGCCAGGAACCTAAGAGACACCATTCTGTGATGAGGTAGATGGAACAAATGCACGGTGTCTGCCACTTGCTCTGGAGGCACTACCAAGTTTATAACTCTGTGAAGCAAAAGTCAGAACGGTCACGTGGCGAGTCACATGACTCACCTGAAGTCGTTCTTGAGTCCGTGGCCGACGAAAATCACGCCGCTGTCTTGCAGGAATCGCAGTTTGGTGTAGGTTGATTTTAGCGTGGTCAGGTGCTTTGAGCTGAAGTTGGCGTCCAGGTCGCCGGGTTTGATTCCAGAGAACTTGGTTAGGTAGTCGACCACTTGTTCCTGGGTCGAGATGTAGTCGTCTATGAACGGGACTCCCTCCATGGGGCCGGTTCTACATCAAACGCTTTAATTCGTGGAGGTTTAACTAATGTCGGGTCGTAGAAAGTTGGATGTATCGCGGTTGTAAAGTACGTTTTTGGCCGAGGTACACACAATTTTGTGACGACTGGGTGAATTTATTGGTACATTTTAGTCATCGGAAAATACTAAATCAAATCTTCTGGAACGAAAATTGGAAAAAGAGTAACAGAGACACAATTATCAGATATTTTTTGGAAATATTTGAAAACGGGAGAATTCATGGAAGTCCACTACGTACTTTTTCGGTTTTCCTACGTTCTGATTTTATAATTTTTCTTTTTTCCAATGTGAAATTTTTCAATTGTTCGGTTTTCAGTTTTTTGATTTTTCAATTTCTCGATTTCTCAATTTTACGAGTTAGCATTTTTCCATTTTTCGATTCTATTCTATCTATTCAATTTTGACGATTCTATAATTTTTCGATTTCCCAATTTTTGGATTTGACAATTTTTCGATTCTATGCGTTTTTCTTCTTTCTAATTTCACAATTTTTCCATTTTTCAATTATTATTGTTTCCTACACTTTTTCATTTATTTTGTTTTATAATTTTTTGTTTCAATTTCAATTTTTTCAATTTTTCGTTTCTTCAGTTTTTGGATATTCTAATTTTTGGATATTTCAATTTTTCAGTTTTTCAACGTTGTGATGTGATAATTTTTCTTTTTTTTTTCAATGTGAAATTTTTCAGCTTTTCGGTTTTCAATTTTAGATGTTTCAATTCCTCGATTTTTTAATTTTACAAATTTAGAATGTTTCCATTTTCAATTATGTACTTAATTTTAAAACTTTTTCATTTATTCGCTTTTCGATTTTTAGATTTTTAATTATTTAGTTTCCCCAAATGTCGATATTTCAATTTTTTGACTTTACAGTTTTGACAATTACATAATTTTTCGATTTCCCAATTTTTGGGTTTGACAATTTTTCGATTCTATTCGTTTTTCTTCTTTCTAATTTTCCAATTCTTTAATATTTTTCGATTTTTAAGTTCCTCAATTTTCAATTTTTAATTTTTTTAATTTTTCGTTTCTTACATTTTTGATTTGCAATTTTCCTAGTTTTCATTTTACTTAAATATGTAATAATAATAATTGCTAAAATATTTCATTTTTTCAATTTTACAATTTTTCCATTTTTCAATTATAGGTTCCTACACTTTTTCATTTATTTTGTTTTATAATTTTTTGTTTCAATTTGAATTTTTTCAATTTTTCGTTTCTTCAGTTTTTCGATATTCTAATTTTTGGATATTTCAGTTTTTAAATTTTGCAATTGTTTGTTTCGGTTTTTGTTTTCATCATTTTTTCAATTTTCCAGTATTTTAACGTTGCGATGTGATCATTTTTCTTTTTTTTCAATGTGAAATTTTTCAGTTTTTCGGTTTTCAGTTTTAGATGTTTCAAATCCTCGATTTAATTTTACGAATTTAGAATTTTTACATTTTCAATTATGTACTTAATTTTAAAACTTTTTCATTTATTCGATTTTCGATTTTTAGATTTTTAATTATTTAGTTTCTCCAAATGTCGATATTTCAATTTTTTGACTTTACAGTTTTGACGATTCTATAATTTTTCGATTTTCCAATTTTTGGATTTGACAATTTTTCGATTTTTAAGTTCCTCAATTTTCAATTTTTCAATTTTTTTATTTTTCGTTTCTTACATTTTTGATTTGAAATTTTCCTAGTTTTCATTTTACTTAAATATGTAATAATTGCTAAAATATTTCATTTTTTCAATTTTACAATTTTTCCATTTTTGAATTATTGGTTCCTACACTGTTTCATTTATTTTGTTTTTATAATTTTTTGTTGTTTCAATTTCAATTTTTTCAATTTTTCGTTTCTTCAGTTTTTCGATATTCTAATTTTTGGGTATTTCAGTTTTTAAATTTTGCAATTGTTTGTTTCGGTTTTTGTTTTCATTTTTTTCAATTTTTCAGTTTTTCAACGTTGTGATGTGATAATTTTTCTTTTTTTTTAATCTGAAATTTTTCAGTCTTTCGGTTTTCAATTTTAGATGTTTCAAATCCTCGATTTTTTAATTTTACGAATTTAGAATTTTTCCATTTTCAATTATGTACTTAATTTTAAAACTTTTTCATTTACTCGATTTTCGATTTTTAGATTTTTAATTATTTAGTTTCTCCATATTTAATTTTTCTAGATATTTCAATTTTTAGACTTCACAGTTTTGACGATTCTATCCTTCGTTTTTTCTTATCTCTAATTTTCCGATTCTTTAATGTTTTCGTTTTTTAAGTTTCTCGATTTTTAATTTTTAGATTTTTTAATTTTTCATTTTCACAATTTTCGATTTTTTAATTTCATGATTTTTCAATTTTTTGTTTCAATTTCAATTTTTTCAATTTTCCGTTTCTTCAATTCCTCTATTCGCACTTTTTCAATTTTTCGTTTTTTAATTTTTCAGTTTTTCGATTTTCCAACTTTTGGACATTTCAATTTTAAATTTTTCAATTTTTTTAGATTTTTTGGTTTTTCAAAGTTCTGATTTTATAATTTTTCTTTTTTCAATGTGAAATTTTTCCATTTTTCGGTTATCAATTTTACGAGTTTTGAATTTTTCCGTTTTTCGATTTTTAATTCCAATTTCTGGATATTCAATTTTTCAATGTTACAGTTTTCCACTTTACAATTTTGACGATTCTATAATCTTTCGATTTTACTATTTTTGGTTTTTCCAATTTTTCGATTTTATTCGTCTTTTCGAAATTCGAAAGAAGAAAAACGAATACAATCGAAAAATTATAAAATCAAAAATTCATTCTATACTCATCCGTTTTTTCATTTTTATAATTTTGCATTTTCCATTTTTTTATCGAAAAGTTGAAGAATGGAAAAATTAATAATCGAAAAACTTGAAAATTGAAAAGACCAAAAATAGAGATTTCGTTTTTTAGATTTTGTACTTTCGTCGATTTTTTGAGTTTCTCAATTTTCAATATTTCGATTTTTAAATTTTTTGTTTTTTCAAGTTCTTGTTTTCCAATTTTTAGATTTCTTTTTTTCATTTTATACTTAGTCGTTTTATGATTTTTGATTTTTCACTTTTACTTTACAATTTTGGAATTTTCAATTTTTTTGATTCGGGGAGTTGAAAATTAGAAAAATTGAAAAATCGAAAAACTGAAAAAACGAAAAATACAGATTTCGTCTTTTTGAATTTTTTGTTTCTTCAATTTTTTTATTCAAAAAGTTGAAAAATTGAAAAACTGGAAAATCGACAAACCAGAAACGAAAAATTCAAAAATCTACATATTAAAAATTGAGAAACTTAAAAAATTGACAGTGCAAAATCGAAAAAATGGAACATTGGTATATTTTAAGTTTTTCCAGCTTTTCGATTTTCCAAAATTTTTCGATTGTGTATATTTGCGATTATTAAATTTTCAATTCTTGAATTATTCTTTTTTTCAACTTTTTGAATAAAAAAAAATGGAAGAATTGTAAAAATGAAAAATCAAAAATGAAAAAACGAATAAGTATAAAATGATAACTTGAAAAATTTCAAAATTGGAAATCAAAAACTTCAAAAATTGAGGACACGAAAAATTCAAAAATGGAAAGAAACATTCAAAAAATAAAGGAAATGAAAAAATTAAAACGGTGATATAATAAAATCAAAAAAATGAAAAATAAAAAATAGGGAAAAGGAAAATAAAAATCAAGGAAAAATCGGATAACTACAAATCAAAGATTGAATGATTGAATACACGAAAAACTATAAAATCGAAAAAAATATAAAGGAAATGAAAAAACCAAAAACTGTGGTATCATAAAATCGAGAGAAAAGTTAAAAACAGGGAAAATCAAAAATAAAAATTGAGGGCTTGAAAAAGTGAGAAATCGAAAAATTTAAAAATGAACCTGAAAAATCGACAAATCGGAAATTGTAATACGGAAAAATTTCACATTAAAAAAAGAAGAGTTATAAAATTAAAACGTTGAAAAACCTAAAATTAAAAAAAAAAAATAATAAAAACAAAAAACCGAAACGAAAAATAGAAAATTTAATAACCGCAAAAATATAAAATCGAAAAAAATTGCAAAATCGAAAAACTGAAAATACTTAAAATACATATTTAATTTTTTCGATTTTTTAAGTTTCTCAATTTTTTCAAGTTAATTTCCAATTTTGAGATTTTTCAAAGTTTTCATTTTATTCTTGTTCGTTTTTTCATTCTTGATTTTTCGATTTTAAAGTTCTGCAATTTTTCCATTTTTTTTATTCGAAAAGTTGAAAAAAAGAAAAATTAAAAACCGAAAAACTAAAAAATCGGAAAAAATAAAAATCGAAAAATTGAAAATCGAAGAACTGATGAAACGAAAAATTGAAACATTAAAAAACTAAAAACGGGAAACTTAAAAAATCCACAGTGCAAAATCGAAGAAATGGAACATTGGTATATTTTAAGTTTTTCCAGTTTTTCGATTTTTCAATTTTTTTCGATTGTATATATTTGCGATTACTAAACAACTTTTTGAATAAAAAAGGTAGAATTGTAAAATTGAGAAATCAAAAATAAAAAAACGAATAAGTATAATATGATAACTTTGAAAAATCTCAAAATTGGAAATCAAGAACTTCAAAAATTGAGGACTCGAAAAATTCAAAAATCGAAAGATTAAAAATTGAGGAAGTTTAAATTCGAAAAAATGCAACATTCAAAAAATAAAGGAAATGAAAAATGAAAAACAATGATATATAATAAAATCGAAACAATGAATAATTAAAATAGGGAAGAAGGAAAATAAAAATTAAGGAAAAATTGAGAAATCGAAAAATTAAAAATTGAGAAAATGAAAACTCGGAAAATCAAAAATTGTAATATCAAAAATTGCAAATCGAAAAATTGAAATTTGGAGGTCGAGAAACTATCAAAAAATGAAAACTTGGGAAAATCTAAAAATGGAAATTAAGAACTTCAAAAATTGAGGAAACGAAAAATTTAAAAATCGGAAGATAAAAAATTGGGAAACTTAAATTCGGAAAAGTGCAAACTCGCAAAAACGAAATTTGTATTGCAAAATCGAAATATTGAGAATTAAAGAAATCGGAAAATAACTGGGAATCAAATTTTAAAAAACTGAAAAATTTAAAAATTGCTAAAACGGGAATCTGAAAAATTAAATACCGAAAATTAAAAAAATTGAATCCACGAAAATGTACAAAATCGAAAGAAACATTTTTAAAAATAAAGAAAATGAAAAAACCAAAAACTGTGGTATCATAAAATCGAGAAAAGTTAAAAATTGGGAAAATCAAAAATAAAAAATTCAAATCGAAAAATTTAAAAATGAAACTGAAAAATCGACCAATTGGAAATTCTAATATCGAAAAATTTCACATTAAAAAAAAAAGTTATAAAATTAGAACGTTGAAAAACCGAAAATTTGAAACAAAACCGAAACGAAAAATCGCAAAATTTAAAAATGAAAACTCATAGAGTTGCATTTGTAAAATTGAAGAAACAAAAAATTGAAAATTTGATAATCGCAAAAATATAAAATCGAAAAAAATTTAAAAATCGAAAAACTGAAAAACCTTAAAATACATATTTCTTCATTTTTTCGATTTTTTCAGTTTCTCAATTTTTTCAAGTTAATTTCCAATTTTGAGATTTTTCAAATTTTTCATTTTATTCTTGTTCGTTTTTTCATTCTTGATTTTTCGATTTTACAGTTCTGCAATTTTCCCATTTTTTTGATTCGAAAAGTTGAAAAAAAGAAAAATTAAAAACCGAAAAACTAAAAATCGGAAAAAATTAAAAATCGAAAAATTGAAAATCGAAGAACTGAAGAAACGGAGAATTGAAACATTAAAAAACTAAAAACGGGAAACTTAAAAAAAAATCGGAAAAAAACAATGAGTCGGAAAATTAGAAAAAAGAAAAACGAAAAATTATAGAATCGTCAAAATTGTAAAGTCAAAAAATCGAAAGATCGAAATTTAGAAAAATTAAATATAGAGAAACTAAATAATTAAAAATCTAAAAACGTAAAAATTCTAAATTCGTAAAATTGGAAACCGAAAAATTGAAAAAATTGAAATTGAAACAAAAAACTATAAAATCGGAACATTAAAAAATCGAAAATTTGAAGAAATGAAAAACTGTAAAATCAACCTTGAAAAAACGAAAAAGAATAAAATGAAAACTGAAAAATCTAAAAATTAGAAATCAAGAACTTGACGAACTGAAGAAACGAAAAATTCAGGAATCTACATATTGAAAATCGAGAAACTTAGAAAATCGAAAAAATTAAACATGAATTATAAGTTTTTTCAGTTTTTCGATTTTTTTAATATTGGATATACACTCACCGGCAAAAAAAGCGAATCACCCAAAGTTTGTATTGAAAATGGTTCCTTTTTTAAACGTTTGGCTACAGTCAATATCAGTTTTGAAACAATCACACAAAATATGCTAATACTAGGTTTTTGGTTCTTTTTTGTACATTATATGAACCTCAAATCTGAAGATGATAAATTTTTTCCAACAATGAGATTTGCAGTTGTGACGTTTAGAGGGCATTAACAGACGGTTTGTCATTGTGATTTGATGAAAACCGTGTTTTTGTCAATTAACATGAGTATTGTGGCCATTAATGCAGCACGAGAAATTGCTCTTATTCAGGATGGTCGAAGTTAACGGTACGTTGCTAATACGTTAGGGGTATCACAAGTGAGCACTCACAGAACTGTACGACGGTTTAATGAGACTGGATCATACAGCCGAAGACCTGATTCGGGTCGTCCAAAGAAAACATCGGCTCGGGATAACCGTTTTTTAACGCTGACCGTGTTCCGTAATAGGGATACGACCGCAGTTGAGGCCAGCAATCAACTTGAAGAAACACGAGGATTTAGTATAAGTGAAAGAACTGTAAGAAAAAGGTTAACTGCAGCTGAATTGAGGGCCCGTAGACCTGCAAGTGGCCCAGAACTTCTCCCACGACACAGAGTAGCCCGACTTGCATTTGCTCGAGAACACCTTAACTCGGATCTTGCCCAATGGGGCCAAGTACTCTTTACAGATGAGTCGCGTTTTTGTCTACGTTCTCCTGACGGCCGTCAAAGAGTATGGCGAAGAAGAGGCGAAAGGTAGGCTCAGTGCAATATTGTTTCCAGACTAAGTTTTCATGGAGGTTCAGTGATGGTCTGGGCAGGAATTTCTGCCGAGGCTTGCACGGAACTTGTAGTGGTGAATAGAGGCACAATGAATGCTGATCGATATGTAGCAAATATTCTTCAAGAGCATGTCGTACCTTTTGCTCCTTTTATTGGCGATAATTTTATTCTAATGCATGATAATGCTAGACCACATATCGCTAGAGTTGTACAAACCTACCTCGACGAATTCGGGATTTCACGTATGGAATGACCAGCACGCAGTCCCGACCTGAATCCAATTGAGCATGTGTGGGACATGTTAGGTAGACGTATCAGAGCACGTGTGCCGGCCATACAACACATAAGAGATCTTGCAAATGCGCTAGTTGAAGAATTTGACCAATTAGCCCAGGCTGAGATTAGATACCTCATAGAAGGCATGGGAAGACGTATGGCAACCGTAATGCAAGCTAGAGGCGGCAACAGTCGTTATTAATGATATGTTAAGTAGTCTTTTGTTGGTTTAATGTAATGGATTTTCTGGTATTTTTTAATAAACTCGTAATTGTTGCAACTTCAGCGAAGGTCCCGTTACCTTCTCATCTCCTTTGTCCTAGATAAACTAATTTGTCTTATAAATGTGACGCACACCAGAATTTATTGAAGATTTCTACAAAAATACTAATGATTCGATTTTTTTGCCGGTGAGTGTAGTTTTGCGATTATTAAATTTTCAGTTCTTGAATTACTCTTTTTTTTTCAAAGTTTTTGAAGAAAAAAATGGAAAAACTGCAAAATTCTAAAGTTTTTTAAAAATCAAAATTATCTATAATTTTGCCGAATAAATTCCACCCAAAATGTACAATACGTGTTTCTGACGAATGTAATTAGAGCACAACTTCTTCCACCCCTGTACCTAATTTAAGTTGATTTGTATAATCGGTTCTCAAGATATTTAACCGTTTCCATACATTCTAGCGACCCTGTATATAAAATATATATTTTTGAATACCACCCCTAAAAGACTGACAGAGTGTGGTGACTCAACATGTTCTTCTTACAATATTTTCACTCTACTGACTACTAAGTCATAAAATTTACCCCCGAATGCACGTTATCCTCGCCACGGACATCTGCGACGGCTTAATCATCGACATCTTCCCGTCGCTCCTCAGCTCGGCCTCTTCTTGATTCAACGTCACGAACTCGGCATCCATCGCCACCAAGTCGGCCTTCTTCGGAAATTCGTTGTCGGTCAGCGGCGTGAAAGTGATACCCGAGGTACCCCAGCTGCGCGCTATACAGGCATCTTCGGTGAACACTTCCTACACAACATAAACCACTCACAACATCGTTTCGTACAAGCGTTTACCCAACAGATGGAGTTGTATACTTAGACACTCGGTTTGAAATCGCTCCATCTGTTCGGTAATCCGACTCAGCTTACCTTAGTGATCGGCGGCGACACCCCCGACTGCGACTGAATGATCTCCCTCGTCGAATAGTACAAAATGCACGGTATCTTCCAGTCCAGACTGAACCACACCGCCTCCTGCGCCGACACCGGCGATATGCTAAAATCATTAAAAAGATACCACTTGTGGTCAGAGTTCGCCGTGTCTGACACGTAACAGCCCGGTACTTTGATCAGAGCCACGATATTACGTTTCTCACTTGAAGACGGATCATTGATGTAGCAAACCACCGCTGTCAAATCGTACAATTTCTTACAGTAATCCGGCGGCTTGTTCTTCTCGTTTTCGCTCTCGAGGAGGCCGTCGCCTCGGCCGTCCTCGCCCTTACCCTCTATTTTCTCGATGAGCAACTCACCGTCGTTCAGGGCTATCGAAATGGAGTGCGGCAGCCAGTTGTTGCTGCAGTAGGGATTGTTAACGGGGGCGGGCGGGGGCACGTTGTCGAAGCTGTGTCTGAAGCGACAGCCGGGCCGAGAGCAGTGGTCGCCGTAGCGGCAGGGCTTCGACGAGCTGAGGCTGTTGGTGTGGATGGTGCTCGGGGGGGTCGAGGTTTCCGAGTTGGTTACTTTGGCCACGACTTTGTCCATCTGGCTCTGCCAGAACTGCTTGTGCTGGGGGTTGTGGAGGCCGGTGTTGATGGCGAGGAGCTTCGGGAGGGACTGAAATGGAACGGTCATTGAAAGCATTTGAGGTGGACAACCCACCTGGAGCACTTTCGTTTGCTGGGTCGGCGAGAACTTCTTGCACTCTTCGCACCACGCGGGGGTGGTTTGCTGCGAGCCCAGGGACCGGGCTAGGATGTCGCAGAAGCTCCATTCGTCGCGCTCGGGCTCGTTGGTCGGGTAGATTAGGTTGCAGACGAGGAGGATGGATTCTTTTTTCATTTCGAGTTTGCACTTGAGGCAAGAATGGATCTGCATTTGTTTGGCGCCGATGAGCTGGATGATCTCGCTTTCGCTGTCTTTTTTCTCTTGCTCGATGTTTGCGTTGACTTCTGAAGCTGAAAGGGTGGTTTGGTTGGGGGTTAGAATGTTAACTTTAAAGCCAGGAGGGAATTTTTAAAACTATCTCAGAATTTTGATTATTTTCGGTGCTACTTGACGAAGTTATATATTATTTTAATAAGATCACTGCTACGGAGATTAAAAACACGGTTCCAAATACTAAACTCTGTGGAGCTCCCACCATATATTATGTTGTAATTTTTATTTTGTAATTGTGATAAAATTAAGGTGAGTTCATAAAGCACTAGTAGAGGAGTATGTTATTTTGTAAAATGTAAATACAATTTACTATGAAAAAAACTGAACAGAACTGCCCTCGCTCCTGAAGTACACTCAACAAATTCGGCTTCTTTGAAAAATCGTAACAAATGAAAAACTCGAAAAATTTTAGAAATCGAAAATTCCTAAAATCGGGAAATCAAAACATCAAAAAAACATAAAATAGAAAATTCGAAAATTTAAAAATTCGAAAAATTGAAAACTTGAATAGGAAAACTGAAAAATCGCGAAAGTGAAAAATCTCAAAACTGGAAAGCCGAAAAATTGAAAAACCGAATTCGGAAAAATCGAAAAATCGAAAGATCGAACAGTCAAAACATCAAAGAATCAAAAAATCTAAAATTAAAAAATCGAAAAACTGGAAAATTTAAAAATTTAAAAATTCTCAAAATTTAATTGTTAAAAAATTGAGAACTCGAGACATCAACAAAATTAAAATTCTAAAAATTCTAAAAACGGAGATGTCGAGAAATCGAACAATTGAAATAGACATCCGAAAACTTGAAGAAATGAAAAACTGAAAAATCGAGAAAATGAAAAATCTCAAAACTGAAAAGTCGAAAAATTGAAAAACCGAATTCGGAAAAGTCGAAAAATCGAAAGATCGAGCAGTCAAAACATCAAATAATCAAAAAATCTAAAATTAAAAAATCGAAAAACTGGAAAATTTAAAAATTTTAAAATTCTCAAAATTTAATTGTTAAAAAATTAGGAACTCGAGACATCAAAAAAATTAAAATTCTAAAAATTCTAAAAACGGAGATGTCGAGAAATCGAACAATTGAAATAGACATCCGAAAACTTGAAGAAATGAAAAACTGAAAAATCAAGAAAGTGAAAAATCTCAAAACTGAAAAGTCGAAAAATTGAAAAACCGAATTCGGAAAACTCGAAAAATCGAAAGATCGAGCAGTCAAAACATCAAATAATTAAAAAATCTAAAATTTAAAAAATCGAACAACTGGAAAATATAGAAATTGAAAACTTCTCAAAATTTAAATGTTAAAAAATTGAGAACTCGAGACATCAAAAAAATTAAAATTCTAAAAATTCTAAAAACGGAGATGTCGAGAAATCGAACAATTGAAATAGACATCCGAAAACTTGAAGAAATGAAAAACCGAATTCGGAAAAGTCGAAAAATCGAAAGATCGAGCAGTCAAAACATCAAAAAATCTAAAATTTAAAAAATGGAAACTCTGGAAAATATAGGAATTGAAAAATTCTCAAAATTTAAATGTTAAAAAATTCAGATCGAGACATCAAAAAAATGAAAATTCTAAAAACCGAGAAGTTGAGAAATCGAAAAATTGAAATAGACATCCGAAAACTTGAAGAAATGAAAAACTGAAAAATCGAGAAATTGAAAAATCTCAAAACTGAAAAGATGAAATTTCAAATAATCAAAAACATCTAAAATTTTAAGAATCTAAAAAATGAAAACATCGAAAAACTGCAAACATAGAAAAACTGAATTATTGAGAAATTTCTCAAAATTGAAATGTTGAAAAATCTAGAAATCGAAAAATTGTTTAAATGGAAAAACCGAGATGTGAGAAATTGAAAATTCCAGAAATCGAAAAATTGAAAATTTAAATAATCTAAAAACTAAAAATTAAAATAACTAGAAATCGAGTAATTCAAAAATATAAAATTTAAAAATTCCAAAACTTGAAAAATCGAAAACTTGAAGAAATGAAAAACTGAAAAATTGAAAATCTTAAAACTGAAAAGTCGAAAAATTGAAAAACCGAAAAATCGAATTCCGAAAAGTCGAAAAATCCAAAAATCGAGCAATCGAAACATCACATAATCAAAAAATCTAGAATATAAAAAATCAAAAAACTGAGAAATCGAAAACTTGAAAAATCGAGAAATCAAGCAAACGAAAAGTCAAAAAATTGAAATAAAAATCATAAAATCGAAAAATGGAAAATAATCGAAAAACTAAAAAATAAAAAACTAGAAATCGAGAAATTGAAAAATGTAAAATTTAAAAATTCGAAAACTTGAAGAAATGAGAAAATGAAAAACGAGCAATCGAAACACCAAATAATTAAAACGTCTAAAATTTAAAAAATCGAAACACTGAAAAATATAGAAATTGAACAACTTTTATAACTGAAATGTCGAAAACTTGAAAAATCGAAAAATTTAAATACACCTACTAAAAAATATTAAATCGGGAAATCCAACCATAAAAAAATCATAAAATCGAAAAACGGAAAATTTAAAAAATCCAAAAAATAAAAAACTAGAAATCGAGAAATTGAAAAATCTAAAATTAAAAATTCAAAAACTTAAAAAAAAAATTGAAGCATTGGAAAGCTGAAAAATCGGGAAATTGAAAAACCTCAAAACTGAAAAGTTGGCAAAACCTCAAAACCGAAAAATCGAATTCCGAAAAGTCGAAAATTTCAAAGATCGAGCAATCGAAACATGAAGGAATCAAAAAATTTAAAATTCAAAAAATGGAACAATGAAAATATCGAAAAACTAAATCTAGAAATTGAAAAATTAAAAAATCAAAAACTTGAAAAGACGAAAAATCAAAAAAACGAAAAATCAAAAAATTTTAAAAATCGAAAAAACAAAAAAACGAAAATTTCAATCAATCAATCAATCAATCAATCAATTTATTGTGCTTAAATGTACACACATTTTACACTCGTCAAAATACAGAGATAACATAAATATCATTTACAATGTTTGATAGTAATAAATCAAGAAAAGTTGTACAGAAGAAAGAAAACATATAGAACATGATACACATTATTCCATGGATACATTGATGTCGTTCAGAAACTGATCATAGTTATAGTAGGCTTTGTTAATCAGAAAGTTTTTTACAACCTTCTTAAAATTAACTGTATCTAACTTTCTAACCGACTCAGGAAGTTTGTTGAAAAATTTGATACCCAAGTATTGAGTACTGTTCTGTGACGACTTTAAACGTATGTGTCTCAGACATAAGTTTTCCTTATGTCGTGTGTCGTATTCATGGTTGTCTTTGTGTTTGGAGTATGTGTTTATATTTAGTCTCAGATTGATCAAGCTGTTAAAAATGAATACGCAGGGCACCGTAAGAATTCTTAATTTTTGAAACATACGCTTACAATCATCTCTGTAGCCAAGACTTCCCACTATTCGGACTGCCCGTCTCTGTAATCTAAATATGTTCGTCACTCATGCTTGAGTGACCCCATGCTAAGATACCATAACTTATATTACTATGGCATAATGCAAAATAAGCTACTTTTAATGTCTCTATTGGAAGCTTTCTACTTAGATTTCTCAACGCAAATATTCCTGTAGAAATTTTCTTAGCTAGGTTCTCACCGTGTGTATGAAACCTCATTTTTGCGTCTACTGTTATCCCTAAAAAGTTTGTCTCTTTAACTATGTCTGTAGGTAGTGGGCCGGTGTTTTTTAGAGTGAATGCGACTTTAACCGTTTTATTTTTGTTTAGGGTTAGTTTATTTGTTGTAAACCAATGAGTTGCCTTCAATTTTGTTTCCTCATTGCGATTTAGGGCCTCTGCGAATGTAGCTTCATTAGTTAATAAGTTCGTGTCATCCGCAAATAGTACAGTTTTTGTGTTTAGAAAGAAGGGAAAATCGTTGATATAAATGAGAAATAATAATGGGCCCAGGACTGACCCTTGGGGCACTCCTAGTACCACTGGTAGCTTTTCCGATTCCCTGTTATTATGTCTTACTGACTGAAGCCTATTTACCAAGTAGGATGTTATCATGCTGCAAGCGAGAGGATGTAAATTGTAGCAGTATAACTTTCTTATTAGTTCTGAGTGGGAGACGCAATCGAAGGCTTTTGACAAGTCTAAAAAGCAACCGATGCTATATCTGCCGCGCTCTAGGCAATCTCCGATAAAACTTGTGAGATCAAGAATGGCTTTGGTTGTATCTCGACCTTTTCGGAAGCCGTACTGACTATTGGAGAGAACATTACCATCTTCAAGGAAGTTACTCAATTGGTCATAAAGTATCCTTTCTAGAATCTTAGAGAAGACTGGTAGAAGTGAGATCGGTCTATAGTTAGTAGGGTCGTTTCTATTACCTTTTTTATGCACTGGTATCACTGCAGCTATTTTGAGACAGTCTGGGAATGTTGTGGTCCTTATGCATTCATTTATTAATCTAGTTATTGGTGAAATGATTGTGTCTTTCATAGATTTAATAATATTGACGCTTATGTTATAACAATCTTTTGAATTGCTATTTTTTAGTTTGCTAATGGTGTCTCTAACAGCTACACTGGAGACTTCTGAGAAATTAAAATATTTAGAATTATTACAGTGCATGTTGCAGTTCTTAATAATTAAGTCAATGGGATCTTGAGTAGATATAGGAAGTGTTTTTATTGAATTTGGCCCGATATTAGTAAAGAACTTGTTGAAATCGTCATTTGAAATTCCACAGTTTGCCGCACTACCTACCAATGAATTTTTATTTCGGTTGTTATTTATTACTTGCCAAATTGCTTTACTTTTATTATTCGATTTATCTATAAAACTCTTGGTGTAGTTCACTTTTTTTATTTTAATTGTTTCTTGATAAAGGTGTCGACATTTATTTCTAGCCATTCTAGTCACGTCCGTTTGAACAATTTTATGAAAACCATTGAAATGGATATTAGAAAATTTAAAAACTGAAACATAAAAAACTAGAAATCGAGAAATTGACAAACCTAAAATTTGAGAATTCGGAAACTTGAAAAACCGAAAACTGAAAAATCGGAAAATTAAAAACCTCGAAAGGAAGCTTAAAACATAGAATCGAAAAATGGAAAATTTAAAAAATTGAAAAACTAGCAATCGAGAAATTGAAAAACCTAAAATTTAAAAATTCGAAAACTTCAAAAATCGAAAACTGAAGAATTGGATAACTGAAAAATCGAAAAGTTGTAAAACGTCAAAACTGAAAAGCCGAAAAATTGAAAAAATGAAAAATCTAATACCGGAAATTCGAAAGATCAAGTAATCAAAAAATCTTAAATTTAAAAAAATGAAAAATACAGCAATTGAAAAATTCTCAAAATTGAAATGCTGTAAAATTAAGAAATTGAAAACTTGAAAACCCACTTCTCGAAAAAGTGACATATATTAAAAAATTTAAAATTGGAAAATCGAATCATAAAAAATCAATCGAAAAATGGAAAATTTTAAAAATCGAAAGATCGAACAACTAAAACATCAAAAAATCTAGAATTTAAAAAACTGAATAACGAAAAAATCGAAATACTAAAAAATTAAAAAACTAGAAAACGCGAAATTAAAAAATCTAAAATTCAAAAATGCGAAAACTTGAAAAACCGAAAACATTACGGATTAGAAAACTGAAAAGTCTCGAGAAATGAAAAAAACGAAAGGTCGAAAAATTTTAAAAATCGAAAAAACGAAAAACCGAAAAATTTTAGAGATCGAAAAAATTTTCGATATTAGACATCGAAAATTCCAAAAATCGAAAAATTGAAATACACATTGAAAAATTTCAAGTGGGGAAACTGAAGCATAAAAAAATCATAAAATCGAAAAATGGAAAATTTAAAAAAATAGAAAAAGTAAAAAATAAAAAAAACTAGAAGTCGAGAAATTGAAAAATCTAAAATTTAAAAATTCGAAAAATTAAAAAACCGAAAAATAGAAACATCAAAAGATCGAGAAATCGAGAACTCGAAAAATCGGAAAACTCAAAATTAAAGTATTCAAACTTAAAAAAAAATCAAACTTAAAAAAAAAACTATAAACCGAAAAATTGAAAAATCGAAAAATGAAAAAATTTAAAATTAAAAAATAGAAAAATGACAATAACGAAAAACTAAATAATCAAGAAATTGAAAAATTCCCAAAATTGAAATGTTGAAAAATTCAACAATCAAAAACTCGAAAAAACGAAATCGAAAATTCCAAAAATCGAAATACATAATAAAAAATTTTTAATCGGGAAATCAAAACTTCAATCATAAACTGGAAAAAAGGAAAATTTAAAAATTCGAAAAATTGAAAAACCCCAAAACTGAAAAGTCAAAATATTAAAACCGAAAAATCGAAAAATCGAAAGCAATCAAATATTCAAAAATACTAAAATTAAAAATCCGAAAAAATGAAAATATCGAAAAAAAAATAGAGAAATTGAAAAATTCCAAAAATTGAAATGTTGAAAAATTGAGAAATTGAAAACTTGAAACCTCGAGAAACCAAAAAACCGAAAATTCGAAAAATGTTAAAAAACGAAAAATTGAAATACATATTCATAAAAAAAAATTTAACGGCAAATCAAAACAAAAAAATCATAAAATCGAAAAACGGAAAATTTTAAAAATTGAAAAATTAAAAAAAAACTAGAAATCGAGAAATTGAAAAACCTAAAATTTAAGAATTCGAAAACTTGAAAAACCGAAAACTGAAAAATCGGAAAATTGAAAAACATTAAAAGGAAGCTTAAAACATAAAATCGAAAAATGGAAAATATAAAAAAAAACTAGCAATCGATAAAATAAAACCTAGATTTTAAAAATTCGAAAACTTCAAAAATCGAAAACTGAAAAATTGGATAACCGAAAAATCGAAACTGAAAAGTCGAAAAATTGAAAAAATTAAAAATCTAATACCGAAACATCGAAAGATCAAGTAATAATAAAATCTAAATCTTAAAAAATTTTAAAATATAGCAATTGAAATGCTGTAAAATTAAGAAATTGAAAACTTGAAAAATCGAGAAATCAAAAAAACGAAAAATCGAAAAATTTTTAAAAATTAGAAAACCGAGAAGTGAGAAACCGAAAAAGTGAAAAACACATTAAAAAATTAAAAATTGGAAAATCGAATCATAAAAAATCATAAATTCGAAAAATGGAAAATTTTCAAAATCGAAAGATCGCACAACCAAAAAATTTCAAAAATCAAAAAGCCGAGATATGAGCCATCGAAAATTCCAAAAATCGAAAAATGAAATACACATTAAAAAATTTTAAGTCGGGAAACTGAAGCATAGAAAAATCATAAAATCGAAAAATGGAAAATTTAACAAAATCGAAAAACTAAAAATAAAAAAACTAGATATCGAGAAATTGAAAAATCTAAAATTTAAAAATTCGAAAACTTGAAGAAATGGAAAACTGAAATTGAAACATCAAAAGATCGAAAAATCAATAACTTGAAAAATCGGAAAATTCAAAATTCAAGTATTTAAACGATCAACCGAAAAACTGAAAAATCGAAAAATTAAAAAATTTAAATTTAAAAAATAGAAAAATGATAACATCGAAAAACTAAATAATCTAGAAATTGAAAAATTCCCAAAATTGAAATGCTGAAAAATTCAAAAATCAAAAATTCGAAAAAACGAAGTCGAAAAATTAAAAAAAATCGAAAAAAAGAGATGTTGAGAAATCTAAAATTCCAAACTATTATATTAAAAAAAAATTAATCGGGAAATCAAAACCGAAAAATTTAAAAATTTGAAAAATTGAAAAAGCTCAAAACTGAAAAGTCAAAAAATTAAAAAACCGAAAAATTGAATTCCGAAAAGTCGAAAAATCGAAAGATCGGGCGATCAATTGTAAAATAAAAAATCCGAAAAATTAAAATATCGAAAAAAAAATAGAGAAATTGAAAACTTGAAACCTCGAGAAACCAAAAAACGGAAAATTCGACAAATTGAAATACATATACATAAAAAAAAATAATCATGAAATCAAAGCATAAAAAATCATAAAATCGAAAAATGGAAAATTTAGAAAATTGAAAAATTAAAAAAAACTAGAAATATCAAAATTGAAAAATTAAAAAATTCGAATACTTGAAAAACCAAAAAGTAGAAATAAAAAACTGAAAAATCTCAAAATTGAAAAATCGAGATCTCGAAATAACCCGAAATCGAAAAACCGGAAAATTCAAAATTGAAATATTTGAACTTAAAAAAAAGCAATAAATCGAAAATCCAAAAAATCATAAATTTTAAAACTCGAAAAATTGAAAAACCGAAAAATCAAAGAGCGAGAAGGCCAAAAATCGAAAGATCGAGAACTCGAAACATCCGAAAAGTAAAAATTTGAAATTTAAAAATTGGAAAAATTGAAAGTAGAGAAATCAAAACATTAAAAAATGACAAATTTAATGCCAAAAAATCGCAAATTTCGAAAAATCGAAAAAGTAAAAAAGTGAAAAAATTGAAAAGTCAAAAAATAGAAAATCTGGAAAATCAAAAAAGCGAAAAATCTAAAAATTCAAAATTAAATTACCTATTTAAACTTAAAAAAAAAGACAAAACGAAAAACAGCAAATGGAAAAGTTTAAACACCGAAAAATTCAAAAACGAGAAATCGAACATCAAAAGTGAAAAATTTAAAATTAAAAAATTGGAAAAACAAAAATGAAAATTTAGAAAAGCCAAAAAAATCGTAAAACATATATCAGAAAAATAAAAAATCGGCAAATTGAAAAATCCAAAAACTGAAATACCAAAAAATTGAGTAACCGAAAAATCGAGAAATTAAAAAATCGAAAAATTGTTATTCACTTTTGTGTTATTTTTCCACAAAAATTTCGATATCTAAGATAAAAATTCAACCCGGATTCATAGACCACAGGTTCAGAACTATGTTACTTTTTAACATAAATTCCCACGGATTTATAAACTTCAAGTGGAGAACCACGTTTTTTATAAAATTTAAATAACATTTTCCACTGTAAAATTTATTTTATATGTTTTATTTCATTTTTCATGAGGGCAGAGAGACCACTTTTTTCATACTCTAGAGGTCACGAAACGTCGAGAAAACATGAAAGTGGCAAGTAACCATTCGTCAGATGGACACACAATATTATTATTCATCAAGACAGGTATATGACTTAAGTCAAAAAAGAACAGATTGATATATTTATTTATCTCAAAAAATCGAAAAACCTTAACAAAAAAAAAAAACTCAGCCTCTAGCGGCCTACACCCTCACCTGAACACCTCTTGCGGTCATCGATGGCCGGAAAATCCGTCACATTGTACGAAAACGGCGTCTTATTATTCTTCCTTTCCGCATTTTTCTTCTTAACCTCGGCAAGCTCGACATGAAGCTGGTGGATGATGAACCTATTCCACGACTAAAACCGAAATTACCCGCCTCACACCCGAAACCGCCTTACCTGTATCAAAGCCCCCAGATTAATCTTGACCTTCTGATCGGGCGGGAGGTCGCTATACACCAAACTAAGAGCCGAAGCTTCCGGGATCGTCCGAAACGCCCTCAGGAAATTGGCGGGCTGACACGGCGAGGTGTTCGACGACGTCCTCAGCATGTGAAACAAGAAGCCCAGTTCACACGACAAACAAAACTCCTTATTGCACAAATGCGACAGCAGGACCGCTCTGATTGGTTCAATAAAATACAACACCTCGAATAATAATAATAATAATAATAATGGTGATGGTTGTACTTTTTTTTGTACTTGTATCATCGCGTTGCAGTAGGCGTTGGGCAGCGTAGCTTCCAGCCCGGTGTGTCCCGTTTTGTTGAACTGGTCGAACTGGCACTCGTCCGTGCCCAGTTTGTTGTACTTGACGTCGATCTTCCTGTAACGTTTCGGAATGGCGATGAAACCCTCAGGTTCGTCCGACTTCGTACTCCGATCGTGCTTCGCTTGAGATCGCACCCTGTTATTATCGATTTCGTACATGACCTACGGACAAAACCGACTGCCAATTTAGTGTTCGAGTGAGTTTCTTAAAGGGAGGGACGAATGAAAACCCCCTCTAACAAACTTAAACTTTATTGCTTAGTTCCAAATATCACATTGTGGACTCTCGAAAAAATAAATATAATTCGAAAATAATAAATAAAGCGCATTCTTTGAGCAAATTAAACGACACGTGAAAATAAAATTCGAAAGTCAGTAAAAATAAACTGTCGGTAACTTATCAGGCCTCACTTGGTTTCTCCTCGAAGTGCGCGGGTTGGGGGCGTAGCCGATGGGGCCTTTCATTTTCATGGTGCGGAGGACCTCGGCGTCGATCCCCACAGGACGCCTGAAACAAGGGCGAAAGTCGGGAAAAATGCTTGGGATTCACATTTAAAAAAATTCAATACATTTGATGGTCCCCCGTTTCCGTGTGTCTGTCTGTCGTCTGTGTTAATTTTATTACACTCATATTATTCCACAATAATAAATAAATAAATAAATTGATGTGTCCTTCCAAAAATTTTTATGACGTCATCACAAAATTTTTAATGCAAAAACTCATCCGAAATAAAACGCTTTTTTTTTAACATAACATACATAATTTTATTTTAACTGATAAGGGTCATCATAAAAAAATAAAACTCGCAAAATTAAATCTTATAATTTTTGGAAAAATCTAGATTTGTTTACTTTCCATCAATTTTTTGATATCACAATTTTTTGGTTTTTTTATTTTATTTAATTTTTCAATTTTTCGATTTGCCATTTATCGTATTTCAATTTTTCAGTTTATCATTTCCCCAATTTTTCAAGTTCATGATTTTTATATTTCATTTTCCCGATATTTTTATTTTCATTTTCTTGATTTCATAACATAATTTTTCGTTTGCCCAATTTTGCACATTTTCAATCTTCGATTTTTCAATTCCCCGATTTTCCGATTTCTTAAATTTTCAATATTTCGATTTTACAAAACATATTTCATTTTTTCGATTGCAAATTTTCGATCTTCAAGTTTCTCAGTTTTTAATTTTTTGTTTCTTCACTTTTTCAAGTTTTTGATTAGTAATTTTTAGATTTTTCGAAGATTTCATTTATACTCATTTGTTTTTTCATTCTGATTGTTCAATTTTCCAAAATTTCTCTTTTATAATTTTTCCATTTTGTTTATTCGAAAAGTTGAAAACTCGAAAAATCGAAAAACTAAAAAATCGTAAAAACAGAAAAAACGAAAAAATGGAAAATCAAAAAATTTAAAATCGAATTGTAGAAATGAAAATGGAAACATTGAAAAATTAGAAATAGGAAAACTTGAAAATCCAAATATTTTAAAATCAACTATGGAATCGTCAAAATTTTAAAGTCGAAAAATTAAAATTGAAAAATTAAATATTGAGAAAACGAAAAATTAAAAATGGAAAAATTGAAAAATCGAATAAATGAAAAAGGTTTAAATTCCAATAATTGAAAACCAAAAATTTGAAAAATCCAAGAATTGCAAAATTTCACACTGAAAAAAGAAAAATGATAAAACTAGAACATTAAAAAATCTAAAAATTGAAAAAATACAGAAAACAAAAAATCGAATCGAAAAATTGCAAACTAAAAAATTGAAAAAATGAAAATTTGAAAAATTCATAAATTAAAAATTGAAAACTCGGAAAATTGCAAATCGAAAAATTGCAAACCCTAAAAATTCAAACATCCAAACGTTGAAAAATCAAAAATCTGAAAAATTTAAAAAGAAAACTCGAAAAATTGCAAGTCGAAAAATTAAAGAAAACATTGAAATTGAAAAAACAAAAAATTATAAAATCGAAACATTGAAAAACTTGATAAAATGAAAAAATTGAAGAATTGTCAAATTGAAAAGTCGAATAAATGGAAATGTTTTAAAATCCAATAATTAATAAATTGAAAAATTATAAAATAGTAAAATTTAAAAAAAGGAATATTAAAAAAAAAGTATTATTATTACACATTTAAAATGAAAAACTAGAAAAATTGAAAACCAAAAAATTGAAAAATCATAAAAACAGAACATTAAAAAACCAAAAAATTGAAAAAATAAAGAGAATAAAACACCCACACGAAAAATTGCAAATCGAAAGATTGATGAAATAAAAAATTGGAATCTAAAATTCGAAACATCCATTCCAACTTTTGGAAAATCGAAAAAATGAAAAATCGAGAAATTGAAAACTCGAAATTTTAGAAAATCGAAAAGCCGAGAAATTGAAATTGAAAAATTGAGAAAGATCGAGAAATCGAATTGGGCCAAAATCGAAAAATTAGCAATTTTAAAAAACGAAAAATCAAAAAACCGAAAAATCAAAATACATATCTAAAATTTTAAAAAATAGAACAATTAAACCAACGAAAAATAGAAAGTAGAGAAATCAAAACATCAAAAAATAAAAAATAAAAAACTAGAAACCGAGAAATTGAAAAATTTGAAATTCAAAAATTCGAAAACTTGAAAAAACGGAGACTTGAAGAATTGGAAAACTGAAAAATCGAGGAATTGAAAAACTTCAAGACTGAAAAGTCGGAAGATTGAGTAATCGAAACATTAAATAATGAAAAAATCGAAAAATGAAAAATTTCGAAATTGAAAAATTCTCAAAATTGAAATGTTGAAAAATTGGGAAATCGAATACTTGAAAATCGAGAAATCAAAAAAAAACGAAGGTCGAAAAATTTTAAAAATCGAAACAACAAAAAATCGAAAAATCGAGATGTGAGAAAACCAAGAATTTAAAAAGTTTAAAATTGGGAAATCGAAGCATAAAAAACAAAATCCAAAAATGGAAAATTTAAAAAATTGAAAAACTGAAGTAAAAAAAAAAATTGAGAAAATTGAAAAACCTTAAAACGGAGAAGCTGAAAAATTAAAAAATCGAAAAACCGAGAAATCGAAATTGAAAAATTGAGACATCAAAAGATCGAGAAATCGAAAAAAAAAAACGATAAATAGAAAAACTGAAAAATCGAGCAATTGAAAACTCGAAAAATCAGAAATGTTAAAAATCGAAAAACTGAAAAACCGAAAAATCTAAAAGCCAGGGAGAAAGTGAAAAATCGAAAGATCGAGAAATCGAAATATCAAAAAAGTGAAAAATTTTAAATAAAAAAATTGGAAAAGTCCCAAAACTGACACAACGAAAATTTGAGAAATAAAAAAATTGAAAAATCGACAAATTGAGAAATGGAAAAATAAAAATTTAGAAAAGCCAAAAATTGAAAAATCATAAAACTGAAGTATCAGAAAAATTGGGAAATCTAAAAATAAAGAATCGACAAATTGAAAAATCCCAAAACTGAAATACCGAAAAAATGAGTAACCTAAAAATCGAGAAATCAAGAAATCGAAAAATTCTTTTTCAATTTTGTGTTATTTTTCCACAAAAATTTCGATGTCTAAGATTAAAATTCAAGACGAAAACCATAAGTTCTGGACTATGTCACTTTTTTAAATTATATAACATCTATTTGAACTGAAAAAACGAAAAATGGAAACATTAAAGAATCCAAGAAAAATTGTAAAATTCCAAAAACAAAAACTAGAAAAATTGCACATTAAAGATTGAAGAAACGAAAAATTGAAAAATTTCAAAATTAAAAAAGAAAAATTATAAAAATAGTTGAAAAACCGAAAAATTGAAAAAACCCACACGAAAAATTGATGAAATAAGAAACTGAAAAATCGAAACATTGAAAAATTAAAAAACGAAAACTCGTGAAATTGCTAACTGAAAAATTGCAAAATCTAAAAGTTGGAAATCGAAAAACTGCGAAATTTCAAAAAGAAACCTTGAAAAGTTGCATATCCTAAAATTGAATAAACGAAAAACTGAAAAACCAGTAAAATCGGAACATTTTAAAAATAAACATTGTAAAAATAAAGCAAATAAAAAGCCGAAATTAAAAATTGCAAATCGAAAATAGAAATGAAAAACTGAAGAATCGAAAAATTGAAAAGTCGAAGAAATGAAAAACTTTGAAATTCCAATAATTGAAAAATAGAAAAGTTCTAAATTCGTAAAATTGAAGTGAAACATTTTTAAAGCTGTATATTTAAAATGGAAGCTAGAAAAATTGAAAATTACAAATTGAAAAAACGAAAAACTGAAAAACATAAAATTAAAAAAATGAAAAATAAAAAAATATATAACTGAAAAAAAATAAATTTGAAAAAACAAAAATTATAAAACTGAAACATCGAAAAATCGAATAATTGAGAAAATAACGAAAATAAAAATCCGAAACAAAAAATTGAAAAGTTGGACAATTGAAAGATTTAAATTTAAAAACTCGAAAAATTGGGATTTGTTGGTCTACACTTCAGGCGACGGAAGCTCTGTCGAAATAACCTTCGACCATTTTTTTTTTTAATATGTTAATTGATTATTTACTAAAACATTTCGCTGAGTTACATAATGCCATTTGCTTGAAAACGAAACCGACGATTCGCCAAAATGACGTACCTGTAGCACTTCTTCATCAAATGTTCGGGCCAATCCGAGGACAGCGAGTCGTGGTTAATCGGCATCGGTATAACGGACAGCGGCGTATCGTAATCGTCGATCGCAAAACTTGGATATGTCACAAGCGGATCTCCATGTTCCGTCATTCGTGAGTATGTATTAAAAAGTGGTTGCGGTGTGGATGAAAACAAGTGAATGGAACCGTTATTGTCCCCAAAAGCCAGGGCTTGACTGGTGGCGCTAATATCAAACGTCAAACACATAGCTAGAAGAAAAAAAATCGAATTATTATTACAATTAAAATTATTATAGGGGCGCAACCAACCCGGACTGTCCATCTGCATCAGACACAATCTCGGTTCGGCGAAAGCTACAGTGTCTAAAATTTGAGCATGGCCGAGGGCCGAAACAACGGCCAACCTCGAGGACACCGACGGTAAAAATCTCAGGTACAATGGGTCTAAGACAGTTTGGATTGGAGTGACAGCGCGCATCATACGTAGGTCGTACACCATCAAGAAGCGGTCCACTGTGAGGTTGCCGTGCCTAAAACCGCCATTTTGTTGTTAAACCAGACGCCATCTTTGGAAAGGACAGTATAGTATTTAAGTGGGATTAATAAACTTGCTGTTTCTTGTTGCCGAAATAAGTATACACATATTAAGAAAACAAAGGAAAATGTAGCCCCGCCCACCCTCCCTATCCCAATTGTGATGATTTTTTTTTATTCGTCGTGAGCCAAGAAGGGCGGAGCTTAACTGCAAAATACTCGTTTCTTTACTACAAATTACAAACAAGTTGTTGAGTATCGTGTTGTTCAAAGTATACTATGTATACTAAGAAAAAAATAAAGCCAAATATTAGGCCCCACCCATAGCCGCTCTGATCTCAATTCTCAATTGTGACGAATTTTTCATACGTGGTCAGATCGAGGGGCGGGGCTTAATTGCAAGATCCATATTTGTCTACAAGAATTTACCATTTTAAACATGTTTTAAGTTTCTTGTTCTGAAAAGACGACTACGTATATTAAGAAAAAAGGCAAAATATAAGCCCCGCCCACCCACCCTATCTCAATTGTGATGATTTTTTTAATCGTCGTGACAAAGAGGGCGGAGCCTAATTGCAAAATCCATATTTCCTTACAAAAATTTACCATTTTAAACGTGTTTTAAGTTTCTAATAATAAAAAAATCATCACAATCGAGATGGGGTGGGTGGGTGGGGTTAATATTTTGCTTTTTTTTTTAATATACACAGTATTCTTTGAAGAACACGATACTGAAAAACATGTTTATAATTTCTTGTAAAGAAATAAGTATTTTGCAGTTAAGCTCCGCCCCCTTGGTTCACGGCGAATAAAAAAAATCATCACAATTGAGATCGGGCGGGTGGGCGGGCCAATTTTCAATATTTCGATTTTACTATAATCTTCGTGTTTTCGACCGCAATTTTTCGATCTTTAAGTTTCTCAATTTTTAATCTTTCGCTTTTTTAATTTTCCGTTTCTTCAATTTTTCAAGTTTTTAGATTTCTCGAAGCTTTCATTTTATACTTTTGCGTTTTTTCATTTTGAGTTTTCAATTTTACAATTTTTCTATTTTATAATTTTTCCATTTTGTATATTCGGAAAGTAGAAAATTCGAAAAATTGAAAAATCGGAATACTAAAAAATTGGAAAAAATTGAAGAAACAAAAAATTGCAAAATCGATAAACGGAAAATCGAATCGAATTTGTTTTTATGATTTTTTAAGCTTCGATTTTTTAAATTTTTTAATCTGTATTTCAATTTTTCGATTTTTGGAATTTTCTATTTCTCATATCTCGGTTTAACGATTTTTTTAGGTTTTCGATTTTTCCGTTTATCCTTTTTTTAAGTAAATATTTCAATTTTGAATTTTCCGATGTCGGCCTATTTCCATTTCTTGGGTTTTCGATTTCCAAATTTTGATTTTTCTAGTACATATTTTTAATTTTTTAAATTTTCCATTTTTCGCTTTGATAATCTTTTATGTTTCGATTTCCCGATTCTAGTTTTTTAATGTGTTTCAATTTTTCCATTTTTGGAATTTTCGATTTCTCATATCTCAATTTTCCAATTTAAAAAAATTTTCGATTTCTCCATTTTTCAAGATTTCGCCATCTCAATTTTTCAACATCGCAATTTTGAGAATTCTACAATTTCTATATTTTTCAGATTTTCGATATTTTCATTTTCCCTATTTTATAATATTCATTTTCTTGGTTTTATATCACAATTTCCATTTTTCCATTGCCTTTATTTTTTCAATGTTGTTTTGGATTTTATAATTTTTCGTTTATTCAATTTTTTACATTTTCATTCTTTGATTTTTTAAGTTCTTGATTTCCAATTTTTTTATTTTTCGAAGCTTTCATTTTGTACTTTTTCGTTTTTTCAGATTTACAATTTTTCTATTCTATAATTTTTCGATTTTGTTTATTCGAAAAGTTGAAAACTCGAAAAAATAGAGAAATAAAAAAAAATTTTTAAAAAATTGCAAAATCGAAGACTGAAAACTGAAAAATTGAAACAATGAAAAACTAAAAACCGAGAAACTTAAAAATCTAAAAAAATTAATGAATCGAAGAATGGGAAAGAAGAAAAAGCATTCGAATTGAAAAATTGGAAAATCCAAAAATTGCAAAATAGAAAAATTATAGAATCGTGAAAATTGTAAAGTCCAAAAACTGTGACATTCACAGATCGGAAAATTGAAAAATTCCAAAAGCGAAAAACTGAACAACTTTAAAAATTATAGTTATTATTACGTAATTAAAATGAAAACTAGAAAAACTGCAAATGAAAAATTAAAGAAACGGAAAACTGAAAGCGGGTATTTGAAAAAATAAAGAAAATTAAAAACCCACACGAAAAATTGACGAAATTAAAAATTCAAAACTCGTGAAATTTGCAAACTCTAAAATTTGAAACATCCAAAAATTGGAAAATCAAAAACTGAAAAATCGAAATTTTGGAAAATCGAAGAACTGAGGAATTCAAAACTGAAAAAAGATCGAGAATTCAAGATGTCGAAAAATCTAAATACCTGAAATTTAAAAAACAGAAAAATTACGATAACGAAAAATTTAAAGTAAAGAAATTAATACGTCAAAAAATCCAAAAATTTGACATTAAGAAAAACACAAAATTAAAAAGTCGAAAAATCGAGAAATTGAGAAATGGAAAAATGAAAATTTAGAAAAGCCAAAGATTGAAAAACATCAAAAAAATTTCTTAATATACACAGTATTCTTTGAAGAACACAATACTGAAAAACATGTTTATAATTTCTTGTAAAGAAATAAGTATTTTGCAGTTAAGCTCCGCCCCCTTGGTTCACGGCGAATAGAAAAAATCATCACAATTGAGATCGGGCGGGTGGGCGGGCCAATTTTCAATATTTCGATTTTACTATAATTTTCGTGTTTTCGACCGCAATTTTTCGATCTGTAAGTTTCTCAATTTTTAATCTTTCGCTTTTTTAATTTTCCGCTTCTTCAATTTTTCAAATTTTTAGATTTCTCGAAGCTTTCATTTTATACTTTTGCGTTTTTTCATTTTGAGTTTTCAATTTTACAATATTTCTATTTTATAATTTTTCCATTTTGTTTATTCGGAAAGCAGAAAATTCGAAAAATTGAAAAATCGATAAAACGGAAAATTGAATGGAATTTGTTAAGCCTCGATTTTTAATTTTTTTTAATCTGTCTTTCAATGTTTCTACTTTTGGAATTTTCTATTTCTCATATCTCGGTTTATCGATTTTTTTAGTTTTTAGATTTTTCCGTTTATCCTTTTTTTAAGTAAATATTTCAACTTTGAATTTTTCGATTTCGGCCCATTTCGATTTCTCGATCTTTTGAAGTCTCAAGGTTTCGATTTCGATTTTTTGGTTTTTCGATTTTCCGGATTTTCGATTTTTCTAGTACATATTTTTAATTTTTTTAATTTTTCATTTTTTCCATTACCTTTATTTTTTCAATGTTGTTTTGGATTTTATCATTTTTCGTTTAATCAATTTTTTACATTTTCATTCTTTGCTTTTTCAAGTTCTTGATTTCCACTTTTTTTATTTTTCGAAGCTTTCATTTTGTACTTTTTCGTTTTTTCAGTTTTACAATGTTTCTATTTTATAATTTTCGATTTTGTTTATTCGAAAAGTTGAAGACTCGAAAAACTGGAAAATCCAGAAACTAAAAAAAAATTGAAAAAAAAGCGCAAAATCGAAGACTGAAAACTGAAAAATTGAAACAATGAAAAACTAAAAACAGAGAAACTTAAAAATCTAAAAAAATTAATGAATCGAAGAATGGGAAACAAGAAAAAAAGAAAAACCATTCGAATTGAAAAATTGGAAAATCCAAAAATTGCAAAATCGAAAAATTATAGAATCGTGAAAATTGTAAAGTCCAAAAACTGTGACATTCAAAGATCGAAAAATTGAAAAATTCCAAAAACGAAAAAACTTAAAAAGTGAACAACTTTAAAAATTATAATTATTATTACGTAATTAAAATGAAAACTAGAAAAACTGCAAATGAAAAATTAAAGAAACGGAAAATTGAAAGCCGCAAATTGAAAAAATAAAGAAAATTAAAAACCCACACGAAAAATTGACGAAATTAAAAATTCAAAACTCGTGAAATTTGCAAACCTAAAATTTGAAACATCCAAAAATTGGAAAATCAAAAACTGAAAAATCGAAATTTTGGAAAATCGAAGAACTGAGGAATTCAAAACTGAAAAAAGATCGAGAATTCAAGATGTCGAAAAATCTAAATATTTGAAATTTAAAAAACAGAAGAATTACAACAACGAAAAATTAGAAGTAAAGAAATTAATACGTCAAAAAATCCAAAAATTTGACATTAAAAAAAAACACAAAATTAAAAAGTCGAAAAATCGAGAAATTGAGAAATGGAAAAATGAAAATTTAGAAAAGCCAAAGATTGAAAAACATCAAAAAAATTTCTTAATATACACAGTATTCTTTGAAGAACACGATACTGAAAAACATGTTTATAATTTTGTAAAGAAATAAGTGTTTTGCAGTTAAGCTCCGCCCCCTTAGTTTACGGCGAATAAAAAAATCATCACAATTGAGATAGGGCGGGTGGGCGGGCCAATTTTCAATATTTCGATTTTACAATAATTTTCGTATTTTCGACCGCAATTTTTCGATCTTTAAGTTTCTCAATTTTTAATCTTTCGATTTTTGAATTTTCCGTTTCTTCAATTTTTCAAATTTTTAGATTTCTCGAAGCTTTCATTTTATACTTTTGCGTTTTTTTATTTTGAGTTTTCAATTTTACAATTTTTCTATTTTATAATTTTTCCATTTTGTTTATTCGGAAAGTAGAAAATTCGAAAAATTGAAAAATCGATAAAACGGAAAATTGAATGGAATTTGTTTTTATGATTTTTTAAGCCTCGATTTTTTAAATTTTTTAATCTGTGTTTCAATTTTTCGATTTTTGGAATTTTCTATTTCTCATATCTCGGTTTATCGATTTTTTTAGCTTT